CCCCCCCCTTTTTTTTTCTTCCCTCTTTCTCTCAGGTTTCCCTTTTATTTCGAGCTGAAAATCGCATTTGTGATTTGGCTGCTCTCCCCTTACACCAAGGGCTCCAGTGTCCTCTACAGGAAGTTTGTGCACCCAACGCTCTCCAATAAGGAGAAGGTACTTGCTTGTTGTTAGAAGATACTGACCTGTCTGGGAGCTGACTGACTTCTGATTCAGTTATTCCACAATAAAAACTGAAATGTGTGAATCATGCTTGTGCTGACATTAGTGGATGTAGAATGATTCTGTCTCTGACAATGATGTGATACTGCAGCTTACTGAAGATTGTAATGTAGCCAGTAGTTTGCCTAATGCTTAGAAAGCATGTTTGGCTAACCCAGTGTCATGAGCCCTTGTAGTCACTGTCAGTAGTTAAGCTCTTTGAATCAGGATAGGAACAGCATGTTCTGTAGCCATGCTGTTTTTTCACATTGTCAGTATAAGCAACTGTTTTGTTTCAGTTGTTACAATTTGGAAATAGCATACTTGAAGTAGAAGTTGCATTTGCAAGCTTTCTGTAAGTAGCAGAGAAACTGCAGTTACGTGATCAATGACAGCTGATGCTTGTAGCATGGAGAAAAGTGTCCAGGTGAGCTTTGGGTTTTTAAGGGTGATGGTGGGGAGACTTTGATCATGTTTGTAATGAGGAGCTAAATGCCATGTTCCACATTGCCTTCCTAGGAAATTGATGAATACATTACTCAGGCTCGTGACAGGAGCTATGAAACCATGATGCGAGTTGGCAAGAGAGGGTTAAACCTTGCTGCCAACGCAGCAGTTACTGCAGCTGCAAAGGTAATGCAACACCTCCTGTAGTGTTCAGGAATTCCCCAGCAGTTTAGTTTTGTGTGCCAGCAATTAGTGCTATGGGTCTGTTAGGGATGCTGGTACTTGTTGACACCAATCTATCTTTCCTTTCCTCTAGTTTGCCTTGCAGTTAATCCCATCCTTTGACTTATGCAAAGTGGAGGGAGAGTGGAATGGAATTTGCTCTAACCTCTTCCCTCTTGGTCTTGGGAGCATCTTTTTCCTTTTCCCTTCTCTGTTTTTTGAGACTACCCTAGTGGGGAATAGGGCTTCTTTCCTCTTCTTCTGAATGATCCCATGTGACGTGATCTTGGTGAAGGCAAAGTGCCCTTGACGCTAATTTTTATGTCCTCTTAGGGCCAGGGAGTTCTGTCTGAGAAGCTGCGAAGTTTCAGCATGCAGGATCTCACTCTGATCCGGGATGAAGATACTGTGCATATGCGAAGCCATGAGCCACAGCTGCATCCCCCTGGTGGGAGTCTTCTTGAAACCATTGAGGATTCAGGTACAGAACAGATCTGCTGAGCCATTGGATGAGGCCTCATATGGTGAGCCAGGAGGGGAGGAGGGGTTCTCTGGACTTTTCATGCGTCGGGTCTCAGAAGCCCTACAAGATTCCAAATTATGTGGGAGAAGTTGCGCTGTCTTCCCATCTACCAACATATCTGTGTACTTTTTAGGTTATTATTCTTAAGGATTGTTGACATCTCCCTTTCACGTGATCCTTCAGGATGGGTCATTTTAGACTTCATGTGATTTTTCAAAGTTGTTTGCTAAAACTTTCTCTGTTACTCCTTAGCTTCCTGTTACTCCTCAGGAGAGGAGAGCAGTGTGGCACAGAGGTCTAATGGAACCCCATCGGAGACTAGAACAGACCCATCAGATGAAGATGCAGGAGACAAACTTCCTAAACGTACACAGAGTCTCAAAAATCCTAAGAAGACAATGAAAGCTGAGGTGAGTTGCTGTGTAAATTATTTCCAGCACAGACAATGATTCGTGAGATTCGTTGGAAGGCTCTGGCTTCTTAGTCTCGGTGCATTTAAAAGTTGTTTATAAGCTTTGTTGGACTAAGTCTTTGCTAGTTGAGTCCTACATCATAGGACTTCCCATCTACTTGCTATACTAGTCTCTAGGTTTTGTATTTTTATCGTGCCTGTAAGCCTCAGACATAAGCCAAGACTCAGCTTTGCTTTCATTCAGGTTTTTTGTTGAAGGCTGGGGCATTAGATATTTTTAACGTTTTGTTGCCTATATCCTCTCTTCTGTCTGTTGCAGTCTGAATATATAATACCACTGTGATATTTATCCCTGAGAGAGCAACTTTCTCCTCATCTGAAATGCAGCAGTTGTGTACCTTCTTAGGCCTTCCTGGAGTTCTGCATATTGGATACGGGGAAAATGTAATTTCCCCCTCCGCACCATTCCCCATCCCCCTGCTACCCCAGGGTTTTGTCTTGAATTTTGGGTAAATAGTCATTGTTGAGCTGTCCCTTCCATATGTCCATCTGATGATCCCAGATATTTACAGCCATTCAGATGGGACATGAGTGGCCTGTGTTCTTATTATTAAAACAAAGGGTATATGAAAATAAATGCAAGATCCATTTTACCTTAACAATCTTTTTTTTTTTCAGCTGTTGCTGTGTTTTGTAGAATATGTTTTTTGAGGTGTTGCTTTCCAGGTTTTGACTCGTATTTGAACTTTTCTCGTGGTTTGATTTATACGTGATAAAACGCTTCTCCCTTTTTGTGAAGTTTGGGTCCTATTTACTTGATTCAACTTGGACTCCTAATTTTAATTTTTATTTTATTTAAGATAAAGAGTGCTGCGTGACTGGTTTACGTTGTTGAGCTTTTCAGGCTAAATATTAATTTGGAGGAAAGTAATTGCTTAGAGCGTCATTTTAAGTCATACTGTTAACCTGATTTTACAGTGTACAGAACACCTTTGCACATGATTAAGTACTCTTTCTACAGAATTACAGAATAGTTGAGGCTGGAGGGACCTCTGGAGATCATCTGGTCCAACCCCACTGCTCAAGCAAGGCCATCTAGAGCTGGTTGCCCAGGACCATGTCCAGATGGCTTTTGAATATCTCCAAGGATGGACATGTATGTCTAAAGATGCATTTAAAATCAGCCTGGATCTTTTTTAAATTCACAAGGCTTACTTCTGAGTTGACCCCTCTGCTTTCTTCTCTAGCATATTAGGCAGGAGCAGGGAAACAAGAGGAACAAAATTTGATTCTAAGCTTCCTAATTTTTAAAGTGAAACTGTGAAAAGGCAGTAATAACTTTTCTATCTGCTTATTGTAAATACAGAAATTCCAATAAAGCCCTTCGCAGGCATATTGGGTTTTATGCTCAGTCTGTTTGGATCTTTGGTTCGGATGTAGGAATTGTAGGTCTTTGACTGAGAATCTCTGAGATTGCTTGGAAGGGCTGAATGCATCATAGATCATAAATGCACTCTTGTTGCCTGTATCTAGAATGAAAGACACTGGAGTGAAGTGTGCAAACTAGTTTGAGATGTTTCTACATCTTTCAGAGAACATTGGGATGGCAGTCAAGAAGCAGAAGAGCTATAGCAGTGAAATTTTATGTCACAGAGTCATAGCATAGTTTGCGTTGGAAGGTTAGAGGTCATCTAGTTCAAACCCCCTGCAGTGAACAGGGATGTCGTTAGCTGGATCAACTTGCTCAGAGCCTCTCTGGGCAACCTGTGCCAGTGTTTTACTACCTTCATTGCAAAAAATGTCTTCCTTATATCTAGCCTAAATCTGCCCTTGTTTAGTTTAAAGCCATTACTCCTTGTCCTGTCACTGGAGGCCTTACTAAAAAGGTTGCACCCATCTTTCTTATAGGCCCCCTTTAAGCACTGGAAGGCCGCTATAAGGTCTCCCCAGAGCCTTCCCTTCTCCAGTCTGAGCAACCCCAACTCTCTCAGCCTGTCCTCACAGGGAAGGTGCTCCAGCCCCCTGAGCATCCTTGTGGCCTCTGGACCCGCTCCAACAACTCCATGTCTTTCTTGTGTGGAGGGCTCCAGAGCTGGATGCAGCACTGCAGGTGGGGTCTCACCAGAGTGAAGCAGAGGGGCAGAATCCCCTCCCTCAATCTGCTGGCCGCACTGCTTTTGATGCAGCTCAGGATATGGTTTGCCTTCTGGGCTGCAAGCGCACAGTGCCTGTTCATGTCCATCTTTTCATCTACCAGTACCCCCAAGCCCTTCTTGGCAGGGCTGCTCTCAACCCCTTCATCCCCCAGCCTGTACTGATCGCGGGGGTTGCCCCAACCCAGGTGGAGAACTTTGCGCTTGGTCTTGTTGAACCTCAAGGGGTTCACATGGGCCACTTCTCAAGTCTGTCCAGGTCCCTCTGGATGGCATCCCGCCATCCCTCAGGAGTGTCAGCTACACCACTCTTTGCTGTCATCTGCAAACTTGCTGAGGGTGCACATAGTCCCTCCGTCTGTGTCATTGATGAAGATATTAAAGAGCACTGGTCCCAGTACAGACCCCTGAAGGACACCTCTCATCACTAGTTTCTATCTGGACATGGAGCCGTTGACCAATACCCTCTAGATGTGGCTATCCAACCAATTCCTTGTCCACTGAACAGTCCACCCATTGAACCCATATCTCTCCAATTTAGAGAGAAGGATGTTGTGGGGGACCGTGCCAAAGGCCTTACAGAATTCCGGGTAGACGGCATCCATAGCTCTTCCTTTGTCCACTGATGTAGTCACTTCATCGTAGAAAGCCACTAGGTTGGTCAGGCAGGACTTGTCCCGGTGAAGCCACGCTGGCTGTCCCAAGTCACCTCCCTGTCCTCCATGTGCCTTAGCATAGCTTCTACAAGGATCTGTTCCATGATCTTCCCAGGCACAGAGGTGAGGCTCATGATGTGAATGTTGCATGCATATGCTCAGAGTGATTCGTTTAGTAACAAAAACTAAAGCAAATGGTTAAAAAGCCTTTCTGAAACAATGGATGACATGAATAGGGTCATGTCTTGTCCCATTTTCACTCTGTATTCTTGTATCTTTGTTGGACATTTAAGTGTTAAACTAACCTAAGATGCCTCTTTTTTCTTTCTCCTCAGGTTCCAGTAAGAAGTGTGAAAGCCCGCCCTAGGAAGAAAGCTGCAGCCTCTCTTGCTTCTGGCGAGTCATCTTAAGGAGACCTCCCCCTTCTCAGCACCTGTGTCTGTCCCAGGATTTGCCTGTCGCTTTTGAAGGGAAACTCCCCAAAGGAAGGGAGCTGAGATTCATGTACATAACAGATACTGCTTTGTAGAGCTCATTCCAAGGCAAGGGGGAGGCTGGGATTCAGAAAATGGAGTAGAGGATACACATCCTCGGGAATTTTCTCCTTTGCATCTCTCTATTGGAGGGAATGCTGATATGTCTGTACATAGCCTGTTGCTTTGGAATTCCCACTGTATAACCCTAGTTGGGGAGAATCTTTGCTGGAAGAACTCACTAGGGTCAGAGACATCCCGTTGCACGGAAGCTGGAAAAATATTAGACACTGGAGTTCCACAGGGGTGGGTGGCTCCCTAAAATGTCTTGTCTTGCTCTGGGTATTCTTCTGCAGCTGTATGTTGTTAAGAAGTGCCCACCATGCTTCATCCTCCTTAAGAATGGACTATACCTGTCATGTCCATCCCCTTTGAGAAGGTGACTGAAATGATGTATGCTGAGTGCTTTTGAACATAAAAGACTAGTTCATGGGAGGACCATGCTAGGTTCCCATTACTAGTACTGGAAGATGAAGAGATTGGGTTTTATTTTATTTCTTCTGGAAGGTGAAGGGAGGTAACTGAAAAACTGAGTAATGAAGAAAATGTGCTGTTATATGCACATGTGATGGAGTAGATACAGGTATCTGTAAGAGTTAACTATTGAGAAGGAAAGTTGGGCGTCCATAAGATTTTGGCTGTGTTTCAAGCTGCTTGAATTTTATTTCGGGTTCAGTAGTTCAGTTTGATTCCTGCGAGGCGAGTCCTGTGCAGTGGGAAAAGCTGACAGGGAGACTGTTGCCTTGCTGTTCAGTGCTCGAACTCCTTGTCATCCTGATGTTTGTTACTACGGACAAATTCTTTCATTCTAACAGATGACGGGGGGAAATCTGGCTCAATATAGTTTGTGGGCATGTTTGAGAATTTCAGAAGCCCTTATCTCTCAGCTTTAGGAGATCAAATCCTCAGGGCGTGAGAACTGATAAGTATCTGATGTATGAATTTCGCTAATGCCAAGATTCCATTTATGGGGGATAAAAAGAAAGCAGGGAGTAGGGCACAATACTGTGATTAACCAATACTCTTGCTTTATCCTACTGTAGCCCTTGCACAAATTTTCTGTCTGACCATGTGCCATGCTTATCAGTGTCCTGAGACTCAAGCAATATGTAACACTTGGGACAGAACTACATTGAATGTACAATATGCATTGTGGGAGTGAAATTGCAGTGCTGCAGAGAAAATTTGCATCATGCTGAGCCATACAGGATTCTCATCTGTTGAACATTGTTAAGGAGAGATCCCCTGTACACATGCCGACAGAGTCAATGGGAATTTACGAGATGAGTAGGGTTCCTGTTGAGATCTATAATGTGGGAGCACCATTATAGACATGGTTGTCTGAATGAATACTTGATGGTCTTAATCTTTACTGAAACTAGTTCTCAAAGGAACCTGGATTCCCCTTCCCTACTGAAGACCATTCTTAGCTCTAGGTGCAGGCATTTGTGTTTGCCCATGTCTTTTGCTGTCACATTTCTGAAATTAGGGTGGACTCTTCAGAGCCCAGTATTTTGCTGTTGACAATGTAGCACATCTGCAAATAACGTTCCACAAGTATTTCTGTCCTAAAGAACAGCCCTTCAAAAGTTTATGAAGTTGAAGATTAGGACTGATTTTTTTTTTCTTGTTATCTTGGTGGCAAATTGTTAGGAATTGACTAGTTATTTTAGGAAACCAATTAAGCTGGTTTTACTTTTATTTGTAGCTTTTAAAAATTGAATTCTTGACAGACCATGTCAGAAACCTGCATCTTATCAGAAATGCTTGTCCTAAGTTATCCACAAGGCCTTATCCAGAAGCCAGTAGAAAATCCTTGATTTGGCTTAGAGTTTTGAGTTTCACAAAAAAAAACAAGTATTTTGTTTGTTTTGGTCTGTTAGCAAACATTGTATATGTGTCTCACTAGTAGATGAAAAGGCGTGTCCTGAAGCAGGAATTCTTCCTGTTTCCAAAGGAAATTCCTCTCTGCATACAAGGGATAAAAATCTTTACTGATTATGTGGAAGATTCAGTTGTGGGGAGTTGCTCTCCTAGGTTTTACTGTACTGAACAAGATAGAACCATTATTCTCCATATACCAAGTATCTCTATGACCACATTTCTTTAAATGTTTTTTTCTTTAACTAAAAAGTTCCATAGCAAATTATTTATGTCAATCATTGTGAGGCACTTGATTTGGGAGCCAAGGATTGGTTAGTCTCCCCTTATGCTGATCTTCATGCACTTTCCTTGTGCATGGGTTGTGATAGTCTCGGATTACTCGATTTTCATACAGTAACTTTCCAGAATGTTTTCTAGAATGATAGAAAAGTTTCGGTTGGAAGAGACCTTCAAGGTCATTGAGTCTAACCTTTGTCCTAGCTCTACAAACAACACTAAATCAGTTCATTTGTAGTAACGCTGTTACTACTACTGCTTTGGAGCACAGGAAGAATTTCTGAAGACTCAGTTTTGGCATTTGGATTTACCTTTGTGTTCCTGAGCTAGGTCCTGTGCTAAGTATCTTTTACTTGGCATTGATGCTTGATGTCATTAGCTTGTGGGCGAGTATGGGTCAGTCTTACTCTGACTTTTGTATAGGGGAATTAAATGACTTCTGTTCGTGAGAGTCTGGAGTAGAGTCAGGGGTTATTATCTAGTGTGCGTTACGAAGCTGATGATGTCAAGGAGCAGAACTTACCCAGAGCAAGAACAATGTCTTAGCATGGACACTATTTTCTTCTTCCGGTACAAATGTGGCTGCTAGATTGTGCTCTGCTCGATCAAAGCCTCTGCAGATCTGCCACCACCCATGTGATCTCTTAGTGAGTTTCTAGATATAGTTCTGCATTGGATGGCATGGTCTTGCATAGAAATGCTCTTGTTAATGAGAACGCTGACTGTGCTGTTTTGATAAAATGCTTTTATCAGCTGTTGTTCTAGCAGGAAATGCTGGAATGTAGTTTCTCTTCAGTATCATCTGTGGGCTTCATTATGCAATTAAGCAAATGGTTAAATCTTCACATAACAGTAGATCCCATTGTGTTCAGTAAGCATTTATACCCCTTTCCTAATACGCCTGGGCACAGAGAGAAACACAGTAAAAGAAAATGATACCTAAAGGCGGGGGGATAGTACCTGTGTGTCAAACTTTGTGTGCCTAAAAATTGTCCTGAAATACCTGTACTATGAGATACAACGTGAAGCCATGACTGCCTTTTGGAAAAAAATGTTGTACCTCCGTGCTTTATAATACTATGAGTCAGCGTTCTGCTGTTGGAAAAGAAAACAGTGAAATGTGGTTTTCCTTCTGAGAAACATAATGATTTGCTGCATAAAAGGGAAAATGTTTTCTTGCTTGGTAGTATCCTCCATGGTGGGTAAGAAACGGGAAAATACAGGGGAGGCTACTGTCAGGTTTTAAACCTTGCACTTCAACTAAATATCTTAGTTTCTTACTGTTCTTTATTGAGTTTCTGATTCTGCAGCCTTACGTTTCCAAGTCTGGGGAAACTGATTTAGTTTAGACTAAATTAACTTCCTTAGTAGGTAGAGGGTGTGTTAGAGAGAGGGATGCTAGTGTTTTTAGAGTTGCAAAGCTAGTTCTGGGGAAGCTACACCTTCCCCTTTTTTAGTGAACTGAGTTCCATTCACTGTCCTTTTGCAGTCCTGGGCTTTCTTTTTTATACAAGTAATTTTTGCCTTGAAAATCAAGATTTGTAGAGAACCCCAAGTTTCCAGAAATTGATTTTTTTTCTTTGCCATCTTGATGAGCAGGAAATACAGTGCCTTAGGAGGAAAGTGGGATAACTTAGAAATACTCTGCTGGTTCTCAGATGTGTGCATAGCATTGTATCAAGGAGGCTTGCATGTTAACTGTGAAGTGTTGTTGTATACTTGAGAGCAGCTGTTGAGTTGAGCCGTATTCTTATCCTTCTTTCTGATGGGGACACTGTATTGTCACGTGACTCTACTGCTTGCTGGGGAGATGCTGAATCGTATCTCTCTGTCTAACTGGTCAGTACTGTAGTTTTTCTTGCTTTTCCCACTACAAATTTGTAAGGTGCCACGTGGCTGAAGCAGCTTGTGCTGCTTTTGGAGTTGCCCTGTAAAGTCAGATACATGGAAAACCACAAAGTATTCTGAAGCTATATGAGCTCATGGAATCATAGAGGCATTGGAGTTGGAAGGGACGTCTGGAGGTCATCTGATTCAACCTCCCTGCTCAAGCAGGGCCACCTAGAGGCTGTTGCCGAGGAGCTCCTGTGTACTGTTTGTGGTCTGGAGCCTACTGAATTTAATGTTTAAGAGCTGGTATGTGCAGAAATGCATATGCTGTGGGGGTGTGCTTTAGTGTTACTGAGGAGGAAGGATTCCTGCTCACCTTTTGTCTGAAATTTGGCACTATTGCAAGACACTATAAACATAATTCGGTCTTATGTTATTTATAGGTATTATTAAGAAGGCTAGAGGCTTCAGAAAAGATCTTAAAAGGTGTGCAAAGTAACTTGTGAGAACAATTGGTTTGAACAGTAAATTAAGACAATAAACCTGCATAGCAACTAAGAACCTGTCTTGTGAGATAGAATTAGAGTGGAAAATGGGCTCTGTGTGGTACAGAGTGGTCCAGGAAATACTGCTGACTTTCTGATCCGCAAGCAATACTTAAACTCTCTGCTCGAAAGATTAGAGACTGATTTCTCTCTTACAGCACCTCTGTCTGTGTCTTACCTTTTGAAGCTGGGCTTGAGCTACATGCATTGAGATTCTTGAACCTTTCATCACTTCAGATCAATAAAGTTTGAATTTTACCTCAGCAGGTAGCTCATCAGCAGGGAGGACCTGATGAATATCTGCATCTCTTTGTAGCAGATGTGTTATGTTGGGGAAGAACCAGCAGAGAGCTCCAGAGCATACATTCATCTGGGAAATTGCACACGCACACACACACACACACACACACCCCCCGCCCTACCCTAAAGCCTACATTTTTGGATGAACCAAATGCTGGACTTTGCTATGCTTGTGTACACAGCTATCTGTAGAACCTCAAAATTCAATGTCAGACTTGCCAGTGCTCTATTTCTGATGAGAATTGGAATCAAAATAATATGAAGTGAAAAGAAACAGTGGCAAATTGTCAGTCTTTTTCTGCAATTTTGCAGGTAAATCTAGGTCTCTGTTGCTGCTTGCCTAAAACCTTTCCATAAACCCCTTGAAAGCAAACCATTACTTCCTTGCCATATTTCTTAGCTCTTGTCATTTTCATGACCCAGTTACGTTTCTTACTTGTTCTCTTATTAAGCAAAGGACTACTTCCATTTTGCTGACTGTGGAGACATGAAAAAGACTGTCTTTTAGAGCTGAAATTTAGCCTTTTTCTGTTATTTAATCCTACGACCTAGAATCACACAGTGACTTGTACGA